AAAAAGTCCAGTCCTGGAGCTTAAACTGGCTTCAATAGTTTTGATTGCATACGTAATACGCTAATGAGTATAAATCCCACTTAAGCATAACTCCCTTGCAGAAAACAGGAATTTCTCACATTATTGGAAATAGGGAGCAAGTATATTAACCAAAAGTAGAAATTGCAGAATCATGGAATGGTTGAGGGAGGAATCCATCAGGGTCCATCAGCCCAGGCAGGGTCACCCAGAACACATTGCTCAGGATTGTGTCCAGATGGCTCTTGAATATCTCCAGGGAAGGAGACTCCACAGCTTCTCTAGGCAACCAATTGCAGTGCTTACAGTAAAGTTCTTACTCATGTTCAGGTGGAACTTCTTGTGTTTTACTTCATGCCCTTTGCCTCTCATCCTATTTCCTGGCAGCACTGAGAAGATTCTGGCCCCATCCTCAGATATATATAGACATCGATCAGACCCCCACTGAGCCTTTTCTTCTTCAGGCTGAACAGTCCCAGCTTCCTCAGCCTTTCCTCATAGGAGAGATGCTCCAGACCTTTTATCATTCCCGCACCCCTTCAATGGGCTTTGTCCAGGAGCTCCACGTCTCTCTTGTACCAGGGAGCCCAGAACCAGGCACAGCACTCCAGGGGAGCCCTCACCAGGAATGAGCAGAGAGGGGGGATTCCTGGGTACATGTTCCATCTCCTCTGCAGGTAGGAAGCAGAAGCTATAACATTCTCCCCTATATATTATAACATAACCCCCCTTCAGTATCTGAAGAGGGCATATAAGGATGCTGGGGAGGGACTCTTCCTTAGCGACTGTAGTGATAGGACAAGGGGGAACGGGTTAAAACTGAAACAGGGGAAGTCTAGATTAGATATAAGGAGGAAGTTCTTTACTGTTAGGGTGATGAGGCACTGGAATGGGTTGCCCGCAGAAGTTGTGAATGCTCCATCCCTGGCGGTGTTCAAGGCCAGGTTGGACAGAGCATTGGGTAACATGGTTGAGTGTGAGGGGTCCCTGCCCATGGCAGGGGGGTTGGAACTGCATGATGTTAAGGTCCTTTCCAACCCTAACTATTCCATGATTCTATGATTCCTGTTGACTCTTACTACTAAATTGGAATCCAGGTTAAGGAGACATCGCTGACTTACAAATTCCTTAGACTTTCATTGTGAAACACCTTAAAATCATTAATAGAACACATTCCCTATCAGATTAGTAGAAAGTCAGTTTAACTGGTTAGTCAGTTCAGCTGATTTATTAATATTTGGGGAAATGTCTGTGTTAAATAAATGCACTGAGCTCTGCACTTCATGTACACATTTTCAGCATGTTTTCCATAACCTTCAGTAACACAGTTCGGTTCACAGAGCATCTTTCATCCCTGCCACCTCCCATTTTCCTCTCAGAAAACGATAAGGCTTGTGTAAAGTTTGGAAAGATCATTTTTTGCTTTATTAAGATGGCAGATTTTTAAGATAAAGCCATGTTGTTTAGAGGAAATTATTCCTCTGCTGAGAAAGAGATGTTATCAGCCAGCCAGCGATCCGGACTGACATAAACTGCATTTCCTTCATCCCATGCGCCATCCATGGGTTGGGCTTTCCTCTCCTTCAAGGACACGTTCAGGGGCTGCTCTTCCCTCATTGGTAAACCCCAAATGTCCATGTTCCTGAACTGGCTGAACAGACTCCAGCATCAGTTGAGTCCTTCCTATTCAAACTCAACTACTATAGAATGTTGTGGAAGTTTTAAGTGGTTTTAACTATGCCCTTATTCACCACATACACAGAACCCCTAAAAAACATCAACTAAGATGGCTAGAACTGGTTTATGCTGTCACTGGTGCCATGGGATTAGGACTTAATCTCTTTAATCATCTACAGCACAATGTGTGTCAGGTCCACCCACCCTGAGAAAGCCCTGAGCAAAGCCCACAGAAGCTTCTTCCCACAGACAGATCCCAGGAGAGCTCCCACATGCACAGCTCTTGTCCCACATACACAGGGGTGTTTGGTGGGTGCAAAGGCTGGAAGTTGGGTCCTGAGCCCTTGGGGGTACAGGCTGCCCAAACAAGTGGTAAGTGCTCCATTCCTGGTGGTGTTCAAGGCCAGGCTGGACAGAGCCTTGAGTGACATGGTTTAGCGTGAGGTGTCCCTGCCCATGGCAGGGGGTTGGAACTGGACGATCTTAAGATCCTTTCCAACCCAAACCATTCTATGATTCTATGCTCATCTCCTTCCTTGTTCTCCTGTTCGTTTTCCCAGATGTTTCTCAGTTTGTTCGATATAAAGGGCAACTTTAATGATCTGTTGGTTTGTTGCTGCTGGGTTATTTTTAGCATTACACAATATATCTATTTCTCTTTAACAATGAGCAAGTAGGTACCAAGCAATAAATCACTGCTGCAATTGAGAACTGAATATTCTGTATAAGATTACAGATTATTTCTCTGGCATCAGGGTATCAGAAGTTACTTTCCAAGCTAAGACATATTATCACAATTTGCAATTAGAAAGATTTCATCAGTTAAAGACAGCTGCACAATAAATATACCTGTATACAGCCAATATAAGTCATAATTTGAGTATTAAGACATTAATTAACAATATAAATACAGCCTTGGCTTTCAAGGCATCCAAAAATGAATCTGCAGACATACCTCAACATAGTGCTGCAGTTTGCACCAACTTGTAAGGCACGTGCAACACTCATTGAGCCTTACGAGCCCTAGGAAGTTGGAACATACTTTTAACCTTTTGAATATCAGAACACAGTAAGACTGTGAACAGCCTCTAATGCTGCAGTGATACCAGAAGGAAAACGGGAGCTTGCTTCTCACAGCCCATGGACAGCAGCATTCTGTTGCACTTCCCTGCCAAGGCCCTTGATGCTCCAAGTAGATACCTTCCAGGAATCTCCAAATCATAACTGGAACTCAAACCAGAACGCATCTGGGAGATCTGGGTAAGTCCTCAGATGTCCCCCTCAAACTTCATATGCAGAAATAAATCTCAATGATGGCGAACATTTCAGGTTTCCTTCATATGCTGAATTCCACGGTTCTTGTTCTACATTTGGTTGTGTTTTCTTACACTAAATTCCCACTCCTCCTCCAGAACATTTGCAAGGTATCCCTATTATTTCTTTCTAATTTTCCTCCACATGGATTTAGCTACTCAGCAACACAACTCATTACAACAGCAAGAGACAAGTTCGTTCAGCTTCAACATCTTAAGATTGCTCAGGTATATTTAAATGAATGTTCAGTCTCAAACAAGATCTTAGGAATCCACGACAGAACACTTCAGTGAATTCACGCGGCCTCAGCCTTCACAAAGCTCTTGTCTGCACAGGTGCTGTGCAGCGTTTCTGGGGAGCAGGAACCACAGATGGTGATTACTTCATGGGCAGAGGAGGGGGAAAGCCTCTGAATGTTGAACAGTTGTTCTTTGTATGCAGAAAACATTAACTCAACCATCTCTGCTGCACACAGCTGTGGGTTCACAGAAGGGGATCAGGGCTTCAGAGGCCACGAGGAAGGCATCGAGAACTTTGAAGCATTACTTTCGAGAGGACATAAAAAGCCACTTAGAGGGAAACCACAGGCCCCACAGGGGCCTGTTTCCATAGGGAAACCACTCCAGACCCCAAACCCTGCTCTTCACAGGCATGGCACTGGCTCAGCAAGTGAGGACCTCTGTACTCCTCCCTAGTATGGAGGGGACTAGGATCCCTAGTACTCCTTCCATTTGCCAAGGTAACTGTAGGTTGTACCTGTGTAGACAGCATGCAACAGCCATCCAGTTAGTAACTACCTGTGTGCCCACCACAATTCCTGGGCCTCTGCACCACCAACCCTGTTTTCCTTCAGGAATTTTGCTCTGCTTTGAAATCAGTGCATTGCAACAACATCAGAAACTGATCCAGGACTCTAATGTGAGGAACAGGCACAGGCTTCATCAGGTTAACAAGACAAGGAACTTCTGATCATCAGTGATGTGTCAAATCTGCCTCTTCCATTCCCAAACTGACCGTTACACTTACAGCTGCCCAGTTCTGTGTCTGCTACTCCAGCTCCTCCTCCCCCCCAGAACAGCACAAGTGTGCCAAATTCCCGTTGTCCCCTCCATCAATCCCAAATGCGAGCTCACCTGGAATTATGACATAAACATGCACTTGAGCAACACTTTAAGAGACCCACCTTCTTCAGCTGCAAACAACAGCCATGTGTGAGACACGTTCAGTACTTCTATTTCATGTACAGAAAAAGACAGATCCTTGTATTTCAAATACTTGACAAAAAAAACCCCTCAAACAAGAAGGCAGTGTTGGTTTTTACATCTCTTTATTTCCTGCAGATACGTATAAGCCACTTCCGTTTGTTTCCATGTGCAGACGTGGCTGAGTACATGTATTAGGTTCTAGTACAACATAAACGTACACAGTAGTAAAATTCCACAGGACTGTACTGACAGACTGCACGTGAACCAAGCTTAAAAAACAAGAGTTAGCTGGCATGTGGAAAGGCCAAGACAGCACTGACCAAAATGGCTACTAGATTCATCATGAGATAACATGTTTACTTTGATCAGAGAAGTTTGTTAACAGAGAATGCTTCCTTTCTTCTAAGACCAAGTACTATACAGAACTCGGAATGCTAAATATTTACAGCAAGGAAGGCTTGGAAAACAACTACCAGCACTTTTATTTCTTTTGTAAAAGAAATCAAGATCTGTAGATTCTGCTTCAAAGTCCTTTTTATAAATACATCTACATGACATCAAACCAAACAGATCGTATTTAAAATGTGATTTTAACTGAGCCTGTATTAAGTTGCAAGCTGCATTAAAGACAAATCTCTGCAGAGATACTAGCAATGAAAGCATCAGTAAGTTTACCACCTTCTGTCACCACACATATTCTATGGCACCAGACAGGACACCCAGATTTCAGAAACAAACTACATTTTGTACTATATGGCTGTCCTTGGTTGAGATCTGGTCATTCACTGACTGCTTTCCCAGGGCTAAGAACTCCAAAGAATTCTAATTCTGATAAATCAAAGAGAAAATCTTTCACTTTTCTAAGTATCTGTATCCTTGACATTATTACTTTAGGCTGGTTTGGAATCATTGAAGAGTTAGTTCTGGAGAAGTGCTTTCAAAAGCTGTTATTTATCTGACAAGTAAACCTTCACAGTGACATGGATGGGGGCAGCACAGGCCAAGATGACCATATGGCAAAACAGTTTACTCTATGTACTGTCAGTGCAAAAATACATACTGTGCTGTCAGGTTTTAACCTTCATTTTGGCCTTGGGTTACATCCAGCTCACAAACAATGAGACTCACCCAGTCATAAGGAGACTCAGAATGTGGAATTCCAGGAAAAACCCTAACAACAAAACCTAAGGCATCTCAGGTAAAATGCCTGCTTAAGTGTCTGACAGCATTCCTAACAATTTGTCCTAAGAGGAAATTTAACAGAAGCTAAGACAGACAATTCATAAAGCAAGTTTACAGATAACTGTACAAGAAATGAACCACCACTTCCCGTTATGTCTCAGCGAAGCTCATCTCATAGTGCAGTGAACTGTTCTGAGTGACACACAGACAGCAGCTTTGTATCTCCAGGTTTCAACAAATCACACCTACACTATTAATAACAATCCGGTTAATGCACAGAATCATGATTCATGTGAAGGCAATTCAACTGTGTCCATAGAAACAGTGTTGGATATATATGTATGTGCACACAGGTATTCCTGACAGGTTTTCCTTCTGACGTTGCCCAGGAATAGCCAGGTGCAGCAAACATCTGACTGAAAGCTAGAGCTGGTACAGCTTCCAGTCGGGGATGTTTACAACACCAGGCTACTACACACCACAGCAGCCATCCAACAGTGCAGAGCAGCTGTCACCTTTAGAGGAGGGGAGAGAAAGGAAGAGAAGACTTAAGCCGTGCTTCCAGAACATTCCAACAATCACTGTCCAGCTAATGCTGAAGAAAACCTTATTTTCACATTCAGTAACACAGTTCTAGTCTCATTAGATTAACAAAGTTTCTAAGTGCAACACCTAGAATACAAATTCTCAGATTTTAAACATATATTAAGATATCTTTAGGCTTATATTTCTATTATTATATATTTATTCATTAATATGAATTTCCATTATACATTAAAATATAAAAATAGTAGTGAGTTTTTTCATTGATCCATTGACTTCACTTTCCTATAATACCCGCGTTCCTGGAGCTCTCAGAAATAAGTGGACTTCCACTTTGAACATTCCCTGAACTCTACACATAGCCATCCTTTCAGAATCATTGATATTATTTAATAAAGCTATATGCAAAGTTAAAGACAGAAGCAAAACAAGCCATGTGCATAATAAAGTTATTTATTTATATATCATATATATGTGTGTATCAGAAACAGAAATTTGACAGATTTCTGAAGGTATTTACTTTCAGTGTCAGAATCCTACCTCATCAGTTTAAAGCTCTCTTACAGCCAAGGAATACAGCCACTTCTCTTTGGGTATATACTTTAGTATACAAGTATATACTAAAGGAGAGTGACAGGGTGGGAGGGAAAACCACAACAACATCAGGATGGAACCATTTTACTCCCCCATCTTCAACAAGATCCTGTCAGAACACCCATGAGACTGCATCCTGTTCTGCAACAAGCTAGTTCCACCAAGTTAAAAGAACCTTGATATTATTAATAGTTGATATTTATAATGTATAACACTTAAGTGGGGAAATAATTTAAACCAAAGTAACTCATGAAGTGCATTTCCCTAAGTTACTGCACAAATTCCACACTGCTGTGCACAGAAGTAATCCAAAAGCCAAAATTCAAAGGCCTCCTGCGCTGCTCCTGCTGTTGTTCAAGTCTCCCCCATCTTTCATTTGATTTGTGAGTTGATCACGTTCACATAATACTTATATGCCTTCATTTTGTACTTTATAGTGCAACATTTTCCTTTTACTAAAAGAGCTGAAAGCAGTTGATATATTCCCATTTAGCAGGCTTTATCCCTTCAAAAAGGGAAGAATTTTGCATGTAAAGAGTTTTCTACTGCCAGGTTAAATGCAATTTAAGGTTGCTTGTTCCAGGGAAGGGTGTGTGAGGGGGTAGGTCTATTCACGCAATTCATAAAAGAAGAATCTATGACAAGGAGTTTAAAAGTGGAGAAAGATGACATTATTCAGGATTTCTGTTACAGAAACCCATTCACATCCCGTTTTGAGATAAACATTTCTTCTCAAAACGAGAGCTTGTCGGTAGTAACTGACTTGTTGTCACAGCAGCATACAGAGATTAAGGAGGGACCTGCATGCAGTCACTATGGATACCACACTGACCTTCATTAGTTCTGGGAATAAACAGTTAAAAAGCCAGTGGTCATTTGCAACAAAGGCCTCTTCAGGCTGCTCCAAACCTGGAAATTCCTATTTGACATTGGACAGAAATAGGCTGTTTCATGCAGAGGTAGGCACATGGTATTTGACTAATTAGGCTGCTGAGCATTAAGTTGCAATGAACCATTTCTTATACTGCTTTCCTTTAACACTTACTTCTTAAGGAATAATGAAGGTTACTTCAATGTCATCTGCCCAAAGAAAATAAACTCTCCACAGCCTCCTTTTAACACGTAAATCATCACAAAATAGGCAATACATGACAACGAAATCTCTTTCTGCTTTATCGAACTGTTAACTACAAATACAGAGCATCTTACACAATGATTCCACTTCTGTCAAAGGAGTTGAAATTTTCAGTTCCAAATGTGGTCTTAAAGGCAGAGCCATTACAGATCACTTTGTACAACTACATGCTTGAAAGATACAACTTCTATAAGAGGCCTGTTAAAATCGAAGCTGTATATTTATTAAGAAGCATCTTCAGCTATTTTACCACCTTTTCAACATAAGCAGGCAGCATCTCCTGCCTTTGTTCAAGTCACTGCCCTCTCATTTCTGTAAAGCTTGAAAGCACTGAAAATAGGAGTTATCCTAACATCATCACAGACAGGAATATTGAGTGCTGGCTTCTAATGCCTTAACTGTTTTTCTTAAAAGCAATAAAGATTCCATTCTCTGAAGCATGAAATCCCCCCCTAACTCCACCCATAGAATATGAAGGAACTCTAAGATTACCTAAAGTCCTTCTGACACAGAATATGTTCCTATTTGTCATTTTCCAAGAGCAACGTATGATGACCCACCCAGGAGCTGTTCCTTCAGCTGTCAATACTCCAGAAGAACAGAAGAGTTTTAAAGCTGAGAAAGGGACACTGTAATGAAACCTTAAGTTTGTGTTCATCCGCAAATTCCAAATCAAAGCCACAGAGATTTACTGCAATATTCCCTCAAGCACTATTTTACTGGTCACATACAACTTTTACTGCACCTTCCACAAGCACATGGAGCAGAGTTCAACAAGACAAGAAAAATCAGGGGAGGAAGGAGAAAGGAAGAGGGTGAGGAGGCAAGCAGCCAAACTGTTTCTTTCTCTTCTCCACTCATCTTAAGACATCCTCTGTCCACCACAAGCTTGACCATTACAACTCACTGACTCCAAGAGCAGCCCTGCAGAGAAGGACTTGGGGGCGTTGGCAGATGAGAAACTGAACATGAGCCAACTTCAGTGTTCACTTGAGCCCAAAACACAACCTTTTGATGCATCCCAGGACACTGAGTGTGACCGGCAAGTCAAAGGAGTGATCCTACCCCTCTACTCTGCTCTTGTGAGATCCCACTGGGAGCACTGTGTGCAGTTCTGGTATCCTCAACATAAGAAGGACATGGAACTGTTGGAACAAGTCCAGAGGAGGCCATGAGGATGCTTCGAGGGCTTGAGCTCCTCCCATATGAAGACAGACTGAGGGAGCTGCATTTGTTCACCCTGGAGAAGGCTTACGGGAGACTTTAGAGCATCTTCCAGTACCTAAAGGGGGCCTACAAGAAATGTGGTGAGGGACTTTTTATAGGGGTATGTAGGGTCAGGGCAAGGGGGAATGGCTTTAAAAGAAAACAAAGAGAGTAAATTTAAATTGGACATCAGGAAGAAGTTCTTCCCTGTGAGGGTGCTGAGGCACTGGCACAGGGTGCCCAGAGAAGCTGTGGCTGCCCCATCCCTGGCAGTGCTCCAGGCCAGGTGGGATGGGGCTTGGAGCAACCTGCTCTAGTGGAAGGTGTCCCTGCTCATGGCAGGGGGCTGGAACTGAATGAGGTTTAAGGTCCCTTCCAATCCAAACCAGTCTGTGATTCTATGATTTTGAAGCTTCAGCTGTCACACAATAATAGTTAAATGTAAATGGAGTCAAAGGAGTCTGCCTCTGCATGCATCTCATGTGCGTGTGCTTGGAGTCAAGGTCTTGTCAATCAGTCCATCCATCCATCAGTCAAAGCAGTTGAGCCACAGATGCCTGATGCAAGCAAAAAAGCAACTGGAACTGACAGAGGAAGACAGATGCTCACTGTTGCTATGAATTTTTTTAAGTCCTACATTATTGACCAGAAAAGAATTAAAAATTAAACATTAAATCCTAAATATAAAAGGATTGAAGTGCACAGATTCCCAAAGCAGCAGGAAGAACTTCCCAATGGAAGTCAACAACCAGCCTTCACCAGCTTTCTAGTACTTAAATAGATGTTTAGCTATGATAGCATACAATAGTCTGTTTAAAGACTAATGCTACGTGAATTGATGTGCTCTCACTCTGCTCTTTTCTCCCTCCCCCAAACTCCTCCTAAGTATAAAAACCTTGATATAAATCCAGACGTTTGTTTTTAATGGATTCTTCCCCTTTTTACCTTACAGTAATGTAATTATACCAAACTATTTATACAATTCCATTACTTTGATACTATAGTTAAGCAGCCAGAACAGATTTTGTACTGAGGTCCTTCCCCTGACCCCTTCTACTTTGGTGGAAGATACAGGCTGGGGAGCAGAGAACAACTTCTGTTCTCGAGACAGTTTATTTCTAAACTAAACGTTCCAAGAAATTCATTCAACACTGAAATATCAAGTGCTTCAGCTTTCACCATTTTTATACATTTTAAACTACCCTTATCATTTGTAAGTACTTTTATTCCACTTTCTCAGAGATCACAAAGAACAAAATAAGCTATTTGCCATGGGGCAGAGTGTGCCTGAATCAACATTACATTTTAAGGACCATATCTCACAGCTCATACATAATCCAACCCACATCATCTCCAATAGCACTTGAGTCACGCAGTGATTTTCACATCTGTGTTACTGCTTTGAATATTGACTCTATGTTGTGGTGAGCTTCAAATACCCAGACTGCAACACTGCAGCACTGGAAGTTAACAATGCAAATGAATGATGATGGAGGAGGAAGCATACATCAGTGGTTTTATCACTGCATTTCCTGGGTATGTTAAGGAAGGACACTCTGCTTCTCTGTATCACTAACACATACACAGCACAACCAGCAACTTTAGTGCAAGAGGTAGAAGGAGTTTTTAAACCTGCCTGTGAATTCTAAAGCAACAGAAGAGATTGAATCTAATGTAACTCTGGGCCCTCCAAGCTAAGAAGGATGTGTACCTGCTTGTACAAGACCAGAGGATACCACAAAGATGATCAGAGGACTGGAGCACCTCTACTATGGAGATAGACTGAGAGAGTTGGGCTTGTTCAGCCTGGAGAAGAAAAGGCTCCTTAAGGGGAGACCTCAGAGCATCTCCCAGTGCCTAACGGGGCCTACAAGAAATGTGGCGAGGGACTGTTTACAGGGACACGTAGGGATAGGACAAGAAGGAATGGCTTTAAACTGAGAGAAGATTTAGATTAGATAAAAGGCAGTTGTTCTTCTCTGTGAGGGTGCTGAGGCGCTGGCACAGGTTGCCCAGAGAAGCTGTGGCTGCCCCATCCCTGGCAGTGTTCAAGGCCAGGTTGGACGGGACTTGGAGCAACCTGCTCTAGTGGAAGGTGTCCCTGCTCATGGCAGGGGGCTGGAACTGAATGAGGTTTAAGGTCCCTTCCAATCCAAACCACTTCATAGTGGTTTTATTCTATCTCCAAGAAACTATCCCCAGATAAAACCTGCTTTCAGTGTAGATCTTTATCCTGAATGATGCAAAAATTCCTTTTTTTTGTAAAAAGGACCAAAAGAGAAAGGTAAATAGCTGAAATTATGAAATTAGAACTATACTGTGCACAGCAATAATGAGTTGCATCTTAAACCTGCTGAATCTCTATAATCGAATATCCTTTGGAGATACTTAATTACAAGCTATTAAAACAAGTTACTGTAAATATTTTTTGGCTACCTCTACATGTCTCCTTGTTATTCTGAAAAAACTTCCAATTCCTAAACTGGGTCCTTCTTCTGTCAAGGTAATCTCAATCTCCAGTCCAAGATGACAAAGCTGTCTGTAGAAAACAAGCCCCATCTTCATAAAGGCATCTTTTAAGATTCTGGAGATCTTCCAATCTGAAAAACACAAAGTTCACACGACTGAAAATACAGTAACTGATCTGATCAGGACAAGGGGTGAGGGGATCAAACTTACACAGGGAAGTTCAGGTTAGGTCTAAGGAAGAAGTTCTTTACTGTGAGGGTGGTGAGGCACTGGAATAGGCTGCCCAGAGTAGTAGTAAATGCTCCATTCCCAGCAGTGTTCAAGGACAGGTTGGACACGATCTGCTGTGAGGTGTCCCTGCCCATGGCAGGGGGGTTGAAAGCAGATGATCTTAAGGTCCTTTCCAACCCAAACCACCTTATGATTTTATGATATCTCTTAAAGAGAGTGGAAGGCTGATGCAGGAGGGCAAAAACCAACCCCAACACTTGACAAGAAATTGAAACAAAGAACACGTTTAATAGATGTTCTCCGAGTAGTATTAGAAGAGCTCAACCTAAATCCGAATAATTCAGTGTTTACTCTTTCCAGTAGCAAGTTGAGGCCTTCTATGCCTTCTGCCTCAACTATGACCAAGCATGAATGGAAAAATCTCAGTAATAAGATAAAACCCCCAAAAGTCACATCAATATGTCATTTGTTAGGCCAGGCTGTGTTTTCTTTGGGGTTTTGAGTGGCTACCACTTGAGTCTGGTGCAACAGACTCGAATCAGTGACACATTTACCACACTCCTTCACTTAATGACTTCTTACTCCCATTTGCAATTATAATTCTCTGGTGATATCAGCTGCCAACAATAGTTCTCTGTAACACTGTGACGGAAACGAGTTGAGTATTGCAAGGAGAGATTCATACTGCAAAGTCCCTTCACTGAACAAAGCCAGGTCTGGGTAGGCTGCTACCCTCAGCAGTCCAACAGTTCAGTCTACACCATGTTACTGGATTACTGGAGAAACTGCTAAGGGCACCAAGAGATCTTTAGGCAATAGAAGCCAAATGTTCCCATTTTAAGGGTAGTCCTGTGTGAACGTATTCCAATCACTGCAAATGGTATAGTTGCAAACCTGAGAAATCCTGGCATTCTCCCACTTCCTTTTGGTAGGCAGAGTCTGGAGATTGTTACTGCAGGGGAAAGTACAGCAGGGGAAAGTTACTGCAGGGGAAAGTACAGCATTTCCCCTGGTCTATAAAGCCAGCTCAACTCCTCCACTGCAAATAAATCCTGAAGGATATCAGACTGAGACGTGAGCTGTACACCAGTATCAATCCTAACCTTGCTCTTTACTTGAAAGAAAACAAGCTCAGCCCAGCAAGCACCAAGCAAACATCAGATAAGCGCGTGGCACTTGGCTTTACAAGTTTCTGTACTTTTTAACTTGATTTTTGCATCTTTGTCCTTCAAGTTCAAAGCAAAATAAGTTAATTATTTGTTTTGCAATAATACCCAAGAGACCCACTCTTTTAAGTGCACACACACAGCCTGCTTCCACAATGGGACAGTCCACACAAGCACAGCGTGCAGCCACGGCACCCACTTCAGCATCAAGGATCTCAAAATCAAAACAAAAAGCATACAATATAGAAAAACACGATACAAAACACCTTTTAAATACTCTCAACATGATTATCTCTATTTAAGATGTAGATGTCACCAAGTTCTTTTCAGGTTTTACTGACAGTAATTGGGAAGAGACATAATGTGCTGGCAAAACAGCTCATTTGGAAAGCATTACTCTGTACTCTCTAGTCAGTCTTGCACAGGATCTGACAAGTATACTTATAAAATTACTACTTCCACAGCCTCCTCCTCTAGAATCGAGCCACCTCCTTCAATAACTCACAACACAACAGGAACTAAAATAGACTTTCCTAGTCTGCAAGTACACCAGGAGTGAATCTTGACAAATATGAGTCATGCTGCTTACTTGTGCAATGTCACATTTAGAGCTTAGTTACTGCACTACACTAAGAAGAGGAGCCACTCAAGTGTTTGGAGGGAGAACAGGAGTGAAGTTTAGCAAGAATTTTCTCTCTAAATCATGACAATAGTCTTTGCTTTTCACAGTGACTGTTAAAAGTTTTGGTTACCAACCACCTGGCTGGAGGCTGCATGGAGTCTGAAGGGGACCTACAACTATGCTGGAGAGGCACTCTTCATCAGGGATTGTAGTGATAGCACAAGGGGTAATGGGTTCAAACTGAAATAGGGGAAGCTCCGGTTAGATATAATGCAGAAGTTCTTTACTGTGAGGGTGGTGAGGCACTGGAACAGGCTGCCCAAAGAAGTGGCGAATGCTCCATCCCTGGCGGTGTCCAAGGAAGGCCAGGCTGGGCAGACGCGTGGGTGACATGGTTTAGTATGAGGTGTCCCTGCCCATGGCAGGGGGTTGGAACTGGATGATCTTAAGGTCCTTTCCAACTCAAACATTCTATGACCCTACCAAATGCACTTACCACCTACCATATTAGTCTTCTTTTGCTGTGCTCTACACAGAAATTAACAGTAACTAGAAAAAAACATCATGGCATTCACAGAAGGCTCCTGACAAGCACAAACCCCACTAGACTCATGTCTAGGACCCCAGGGGCCAGCACAGGGCTCCAAACACTCAGCAGCAGCCAGGATGACAACACAGAGAGCACCGTCACAAACAGGTGACAGTAAAGTGCAGAGGGCAGAGAAGGAGGCTGACACTGTGAATGGCAGCACTTCTACCAACAGAGACAGATCATGATAAACCTGAGGATGGGCCCAAAGAAACCTCACTGGGTTCAAGAGGGGAAAGCACAGAGCTGTGCACCCAAGGCAGAAGAGCCCCATGCATCAGCATGGGCTGGGGAGAGCTGAGTAAGAGCCCTGCTGCAAAGGGACTAGGTGCTGGGGCAGAAGGCAGCTGAAACAGGAGCCAACATCTCGCTGCAGAAGGCAAACTGCAAAGGGGACTACAAGGAAGGGATGCTGAATGCTCATGTGAGGACCCTCACTTCAACAGGATGCTGAGGAACCAAGAAGGGTCCAGCCCTGGGCTACCACAGTGGTCAAGAGCCTCAAGGGCATCACCCACAGGCAAAACTGAAGGGAGACACACCTGTTTCGTCTGGCAAAGAGACCATCTAAGACCTGTCTACAGCTACAAGATGGGACCTCTAAAGACAGTCAAGACAAACTCTCTCAGCACTGACTGACAGGGTAAGACAGAGCAATGGCCACAAAAGGCAGCACAGAAAATGCAGGTTGGACACAAGGACAAACTTGTTCATCAGGAGGCTGGTGAAGCCCAGAAAAGGCTTCCCAGAGAGGCAGTGGATTCCCTGTCCTTGGCAGTTCTCGTGGCTTCATGGGACAGAGCCATGGCTGAGCCCACCACTCAGAGCCCTGCTTTGAACAAGTGGTTGGACCAGAGACTTCTAGAAATCTCTTCTGACCATTATCCTTGCAGCTCCATGATCTCATAACTCCTGTGATACGCTTCCAGCACCTACAGCCTTGTTTACAGAATTACCCTCAGACATGAAGTCAGTAAGTCTTTGGAAAAGGAATTATCCACAGATGACATCAGTGCAGACTTTACTATAAATAGCCAGGTATTATCAATATACTGCAGTGCTGGCAGCTCCAGCAAGTTCCGAAATCACAAATATTTAATGTTAAAAGTATTTTAATCAGCTGCTGCCAAATACTTAAAAAAAACCCAACCAACCCCAAACACCTAGAGTGAAACCAGAACTCTCCTGCCTAAGCCACATTTAAGAAGTTAAATGTGCTGCCAAACACCATCCTATGGGCACCTGTGCAGACTACTCACTGTTCTGTCAGGAAAAACACCCCTTCAAGAGGAACATTTTATGCTGTATCTTTAAGAACAGGCAATGTGAAAGCTATTGGCACTTAGTTTGCTTGTAGAAGCTCCCTCGGAGTTGAAAAAGGCAGAATATTTCCCCCAAGACAATTCTGAAGTGTTTTAAATGTCACTCAAGCAGCACACAGGATGCCTCATGTTTAACAACACTACAGCTTAAATGGCTATTTGTCCTTCACTAGGCTCCATTTTGTTTCCTACCAGTATCAAATCAGAATAAACTAAATACAGAAGATGGACAGTGTGACCAAACTTTTCTTTAGGCGCACTATAAAAGCTGAGCTTTAGGGATAATCAGAATTAAAGCAATTACAATAACAGTTTAGAAGTAATTTAGGAGGAGAAGGACTGGTTCCTACTACTCACTCCTAGGGCCACAGAGATGCAGCAACTATTCAATGCAACAGACAAAAGAGCTTGGCGAAGGGGAAACCTAGGTCATTACTTGACACTATAATCCTGCTTTTTGGGTTCTTTGGGCCTGTGAATCTTCGGTTATCTCACGCTGTCACCAAGCTTCAAAACAAGATTGAGAGGCACTCGATCAATAAGACCTGTAGCTAAAATGAACTCTCTTCCTTGCATTAACTGGTGTGTTTCTTTTATTAGCCCATGTATGCATCTAAAATAAAAATCAAACAACAAAACCTACACTTACATTAGCAGGTATTGTACTGCAAGAGGAGGAGATCAGCAAAACAAACAGTTTGTGAAGACAATATTCAAGCTACATATATTCCACATGACCTCACTTCAGAACTTGCTCTGGTCCTACCTATGGTCTAAACAGCCTTAAACAAAAAACATTAGCCAAGTCCAGAAGCATAGCTTTGAATTTGGTTTCACCCAAAGGAAGCTGATTGGCATGTCCAGCAGGAAAGAATGTTCCTATGCAGCCTATAGTGACAGGCATTCTGGAGATAACACAGTTACTCCAAAATTAATCTGAAGCAATTTTCATTAGCTGCATGTTAAGGCAAAGAACCTAAACACTAAATCCTATGCATGTCTACAGAGTAATGCATGAATGCGACACTTATGTGTAGTGAGATCTTTGTCACACCTCAAATAGAAAACAACTGTGCAGTAAGAACATCACTCAGTGCAGTTTAGGGTTGCTTTGTAATTATCTCAAGGAGGGAGGCTGTTACACAACAACCATTCCAACAATATGAAGAGAATACTCACATTACAGAGCCTGACTGAGAGTGTACTTTCGGGATGGTTTACACCGAACACAGTAAGAGCACTGAGGCAGAAGTACAGTCCTGTGCTTCCTGGCTTCCAGCTGAGGGAGTCCAACTTCCCCCGTTGTTACAGGGATTTTATAATGCCATGGTTCATGGTGCCAGTTACTTGGACAAGCAGTGTATCAGCTACAAAATAATCCTGGAAAACAAAAGGAAAACACATCTTTTTTTTCCTACAGCAGGTAGCTGATCTCAGTCACTGGACAGCACTACAGTCCTTAGGACTCAGGTGTTGTATAGGGCAGGACTGCTTGCTTTGGTGGCTATGTAGTGTTAAACCAATATAGGTGAATCGCTTAACCACAACAGGAACCTTTCTCCACCATCCCCCAAGAAAAAGAAGAAGATAGCAATACTTAAGACCTCTGGTATCAATGCTTTGAGCAGAAACAGTAACGTAAGGAAGCTGCATATCTCAAAGACACAGCAAAGAGCCAGCAAAGAAAAGGAATTTGGCACAACCATGCTCCCTTAAAGCTAGTATCAACTTTATAACTAATCCAGATCAGCTTCAATACTTCCATGCCTTGCAAAAAACTGGCATTTGGATAAACCAGCAGAGGAACACCAAGATGCCTTTCACTCTCTGCAAAGTTCACACCAACTGCATGTCTGAAGCTATCCTTTGGCATTTCTTGTTAACACTGCACGTTAAGATGGAGCAATTCCCTCAGACTTCCATGCCAAACGCAGTCAGCAGACCCCACCTCCATGGCAATCAGCTGAGCAGGACTTGGATGGCAATTCCTAAATGCTGGAGGGACTTGACAGTCTGCTCTCTTACCAACGCTCCACCTGCTGATATGCTGACGTTACAGAGGGGTCCAGGCAGCATCCTGACCTGGGAGAGAGGCAAAGACAAACAAGAACAATGCAGGAGTCAACTAAAATGTTCCGAGTAGTCAGAAGCATCAAAAGCACCTCAGGCAAAACCTACTCTGAAGACTTTGCCAGTATAAGACATGTCTGAACACTGATATTCCTGACAAATACTTGTGAAAACCTCTAACCAAGGATGTGGTTCAAGCCTGCTTTGGTGGCTGGCCGCCTACTAACACATGAGCATTAGTAACTTCTTTAGGTCAAGGGCAGAGCAGTTTGCATGAGTGATGCAAGCCAAGCTCCCACACAAACCCATCATTAAGTTTGGAGTTTCTGCATTGCAAATCTGATTTTATCAGGATTGTAAAGTGAGCTTTATGACAGCCCAAAATAAAATCTCATTAAAGACAATCTCCCCAAAACAAATTAGCCAAACACCCAAATTACAGCTGCCCACCTCATTTCAACACATTTACATATGAAATATAATGTCTACAAAAATAAAACATAAGCAAACACACGGCTCTTCATAGGAATCCTGCCATATTCCCTTCATAAACCGGATCTTGTCCCCAAAAGAGGTTTGAACCGGGATGTTAGTCCTTAACACTTATTTCACCTGTTTAACAAACTGAAAGGTGTCATTCACAGCCATCATCTGCTTCAATTGCTTTTGCAGAAGCCAAAGAAACCAGGACAGGTAACTGAGGAAAACTCTCAATGTGTTTGGAGATTAGCTGATTTATAAGTTGAGTCCTCAACCTCCTCTACACTGTTCACCTGCAAGTGTGGGACAAGCCACTGAAAGCACTTTTTACATCCACCCATTACTTCTACTCATCATCATCTGAGTGACCAATTGCAAATGCTCAGTTTTGCAGATCGGTTGGATCTCAAGTAGAGGCCAATGGGAGCCACATCAGCACAACAGAAACGCTGTAAAAATGTCAAGAAATTCCTCTAAGGAATCAATTCAATTAAAAAAATGCTCAATTTCATGTGCAGTTTGTAATAGTCTTTGAATGTGAAGAATTAAAATGTTACTGGTACTGGGGTAATAAGCATCAGGCATCACGTTTCTAGAACAAATGCTCTGTGAAAGTAGTTAAAAGTTAACCTGTACAGCGGGACCTGTGAAGGTCCACTGCAGGAAATGCTGCAGATACAGGCTTCCAGCCACTGTTTAAAATAAACTCAAGCACCAACAACAGACCAAAACTCAGCTCTCTTCCACAAAGCCACAAAGTGTCAGCTGCCATAGGCTCATCTGCCTTAGGCTCCATATAAATGCAAGAGTGGATCATAGTTGGCAATATCTGTCAAGCTGTGTATGCAAATGAAATCTCACATTTCATCTTTCAACTTCCAACTTAACTACAATACTATTGAAAAGTAAAACTCTTCAAATAAATTATATTCTCCAGCTTAAAGCAGTAGCTTAAAAGACAGGAAACCTGTTCACAGAGTTCTCAATAACCTGTACACTGCAGTGCTTTGATCTCCAATGACCAGAGAGCACAAAGATTAACCAGACAGCTAAAATAACTTGACTCTGCAGGGGTGAAGGAATGACTGAAGCTGACAGCCACAAGTTCCAGTTAACAGCGTATTATAAACTGTCTGAACTATTATGGAAAATTTTGGAGTAACAGATTTGTAGTGCACCAGTAAACTGACAGAAAACCAGCATTCACCTTTTCACTTAAAGCAGGTGATTTAGGAAAACATTCCCCTTTTCACAGAATCACACAATGGTTTGGGTTGGAAAGGACCATCCAGGATCATTCAGTTCCAACCCCACTGCCATGGGCAGGGACAACTCACACTAGACCATGTCATCCGAGGCTCTGTCCAACCTGGCCTTAAACACTGCCAGGGATGGAGCATTTCCCACTTCTTTGGGCAGCCTGTTCCAGTGCCTCACCACCCTCACCCTAAAGAACTTCTTCCTTATCACTAGCAGCCTTTGCTAATTGCAGCAGAGGTTTGGTTTTCTTGTGCTGCCTGGTATTCTTAGGAGAAATGTAATACTACACATAACAGCAACTCAAGCTGTGTAAATAAAGGTCTTTGTTTCTTAATTTACATATAAGCAAGAAATCAGGTATCATTAACTTCAACAGTAAGGAATTTCACACTGCCATTTGTGTTGTGTAAGGAAGAACAAGTAAACCAGTACTTCTCCCTGATACTGTAGTATGCAACTTCATGTTAACATACAGAATCACAGCATCAATCCATTTGCTAGAACCAAGGTATGTTTAAGTACACAGATTCATTTCACTTTCCTAAGATTTTAATGCTTCTAGTTAACATTTGGCATAACCTGACTTCTCACTGAACCACCAGTTTAGCACGTCCTGATCCAAGCAGTGTGTTTATCAAGACAAGGCATGCAGTCACCGTATTCATGTGAAACAAATCACTGTAAAGTTTTGACGAAGCTTTTGAACTCACAGCAGTCACAGGCTGAAATCAGATGAAAAATGCAATGACAATCATGCCTAAACACATAGTATCTAAGGATATCAACTACTACATTTATTTTGTAATTAATAATATTAAAAGTATCAGAAGAGGAGTCAAAATAGACAAATGTGCTTTTAAAGCAAGGAAAATATCACATTTTCCTGTTAAAGAATGTCCTGTATCACAAACGATTCAAGTTTTGAACATGGCAAGCTCTGTTTAGTGTTACAGTCTGCTACAGGGGATAGAGATACAGCACCGCAATCTTCACAAAGCTCTAGAAGTCACCTTATCTTTGCTTGATATTTCCTTGAAATACTCCCTTGATATATTTGAGGCAGATGAGGGACAGGCTGCAGAAGAACTAGCATCCGACACCAGAACATTCCCCATGTTTCAGTGACCTCAAAGTGCCTGATCTTGTCAGCAGACAGCTTGGTTATCCCACAGCAAAGGGCTACGTGAAAACAAAGATGTCCTTGACCTCCAGGGAGATCAGAGAGTTAAGCTCAGAGAACCAGCATCAATAAAAGCATTCTTGAAAACACTGCCTTTGTCTTTCAAAGTACATACCTGCCAAAGTAATATTAAAACTTAGCTGTAGTATTTCTTGTCTTAACCTAATTTGATGGACAAAAACGTGTTCACACATCCTTCTAGGAGCAAGTGCAATATTGATTACTCAAGTTCACATTTTACTGGTTAAGTTCACTGAATAATTCAAGCAAAACTCCAAATGAAGTAGGCTGGGGGCAATGATGAGGAATTATACTTATTTATAAGCACAATCCATATATAATCAGATCACATAAAGTTTATCAACATGCTAATAGTATATCACGTGGTCTCTATAAAAAGCTAAAGATACTCTCAGAAGACATCAGGCTAACAATACACATTACACCAAAAGTTACATTACAGTTACAACATACACCGAGTATGTTGTAAGAATGAATGTTAAAATAATGATGCCTATCAAACATGGGCCAATCAGCCGGCAGAATGAGTACGGATGCCACAAACAACATACAGCTTTCATGCCCCAGTCAGGGCGCAAAAGAAAGGAGGATGTGATGGAAAACTCACAGCAATTTTAGGTTTAAATGTGAAATCGAAGCTAACAGTGATGCCAGAGTACTGCTGTGAGTACTGAATCTCCAGGTCCAACAGCTGAGCCCTTCCTTAGAAATTCCAGTAACAGCAGCTTAACAGGTCACCATTTGCTTAAACAAGAACAGTTCCCAATCCGTTCTACTTTTACCTTTTTCTTTCCAATATCTACCTTACCAAATAACTCTGTCCTCTATTTTACTGTTCTGTTCACCTGGTACTGAGCACGCAGGGAAAGGAGATTAAAAAGGTTAAAAAAAGAGAAGCTACTCTGTGCCAGCAGCCCCAAGCAGTCTGTACCCTGGGATACACACTTAGGAAGCTCAGGCACTACGGAGCATTTTCTGCCAAGCTGCAGAGGGTCAGGAGGGCATCTTCTGTTGCCAAGCATCAGCTTTGGGAAATGGTACCTTCCAGAAGGTACAAATTTGAGCCTTTGCTGTAGGTTACCATAACCTACATTAGGACATAACATACTACCCACCCAAAACTGTCAACACACTCTGTGATCTCTGCATGTAAAAGTACTCAGTGCACCAAACACTGAACGATGAAGTTGGCAGTTTAAATTAATACACAGGCAAGAGCTTGGTCTTCAAGAACCCTCTGAAACACTCTGAACATCAGAAGAACGACAACCCTGCACTTGGCTGAACCATGCTGTATCTGCAGAGAAAACAATGAAGTGAATGAAGGAAGTCCTCTGAGGCCCATCTGGCATTTTGATTTATTACGCTCACGTTAAGCCTCCAATGTTCATTCTCCACTCGGCTCTGACACAGCAGAAGATTTGTTTTGGACTAACTTACTTTATTCCTATGTTCTTTATATAAACTACTCACATTCTTACAAATTCCACTAATACCACTTTGATACCTAATATTGAGTTGATTCAGTGTGAAACATAAGAATACAATCCAACTTTTTAGTAGCTTAACTTCCTCATTCCCACAGGATTCAACATGTCCTCAGACATGAAACAATCTTATCTAGGGCACTTGTGAATATTTCAGTATTTTCTTTCCTTATCTTTCTAACCTTCATTTCTGCAGAAATATCCACCAAATTCCCTCAACCTTCTTGTGCTGGTGGGTCCTTCCTGGTGGTCTCAGACTGAGGCATCCTAAGATGACAGTGTATAAGGAGAAAACTGATACATTCCTAAAGGGTAATTTCAAGACTAGAAAGCTTACATAGGCTAAATACACTTTAAACTGCAAGGTGGGTTGTGCTGCTTCTCCTTAGGTGCCAGCCCAGACAAAGCAATGCCTCTCGAGTACGGCATTCTCCAGTTAGACCAGTTCACTGCTGGTTTAACTTACAGAACTTGCTAAAAGAGGAAAAGGCAGGAACATTTTGAACGAAATACAAACAGGAAAGACAGATTGCTATTGTATTAGCAACGTTCACTCATGAGCACAACCATCCCTTTGTTCTTCTTTACCTTCATCACTCCTACAGTGCCTCCCAGCAACAACCTGGAAACAATGACTGAGCTAGGGCATGAACAGCTAGGCCAGACAGCTACCAAATGTTTTCCAACAAACTACGTAAAGTATGCAATATAAATAGATCATCACAAATATGTCTTGTTAAAAAATATTTATGGTCATACCACGTATCTGTACTCCCCAGGCACTATGATTCTCGGTCATTTTACAGTATTGTTCCATGTTATGCATGAGCTGAATAAACTTGCAGGTGAAGCCTACAAAGCTGAAGAGGTTTTTAACATTTCCAGTGCACAAGTCTGAAAGCACTGACTTTTCTACTCGTCCCAGAAGTTCCCTCTGACAGCGCTTTCACCATGATACACGCTTCCAGCTACAGGTAGGTTTTCTACCCCTCTGTTTCCTAGATCACAGCAGAAAAACTCCCCATCACTTTAACCCAGAACCAAAGCAGCATGCAAACAGCACACTCACTTGCACAGCCTATTCAGCTTCTGCTCAATCTGATTATTCACCTGTTTTGTACTGACTGCCATCTGCCCGTGCCTCCTCCTGTCTGTCTCTGACATAGACTCTGTGCCATCACAGAAGCTTTAATTCAGCACCTTCCTGCACACTATTTCCAGGTCACTGATACATACAGCAAATAAACTTAATTGCAAGATGGTTTCCTGTGGCTCTCCAGTCACTGCATTTCAAATCAGCTCCAACGGAGAGAAGGTTTTGCAGTGTAACACTTAAAAACCGCTATACGCTTATTTCTTCAAGTATTTATATACATAAAATATGTATGCAGATATATTATGCATATTAAATATTTATATCTTTACATACATATTGAAGACAGGAAATCTATTCAAGGCTAACTCAGCCACTACTCACGCTTCTTTTCCCATTTGAACTGCAGCATGAGCACTCATCACCATCACATACATGGAGGAGTAAGCACTCAGGTATTTTTATTTTAGGCAAACAATCCACTGCTTCACAGAACTTGACAGTTGTCTCCATTAACTGCTATAGCCAAATCTTATCACGTGTTGAGAAGGACACTGGGATTAATTATGTACTTCCAATCTGGCCCTTTTATTAGTATCAGGAATGTTCGTTTCCTAAGCTGTACATGACAGTCGCTTGAAACTCCATCTGGCTTTTTTGACTTACACCAGGAAGTCCTTCCGTGCTACAAGAGTTCATGAATATATTAACTGCACTCATTTCCCCCCCTAAAGAAAGAGAAATTCAGCTTTCAACAAGACACTTAACTCCAAACAAACCACAAACCCGCAAATGCCTGTTAACATTGGGAAATTTAGGAAATAACAAAGAAAGATTTCTTAGTCCTTGACATAAGGAGGACTTCTCTGGAAAAGCAGAAAAATAAATCCAAAAGAGCCTTCACTTCACTTTGTCGGCCACTGACCTTTAGACCTGACACCCACTGCATCCTGTGGGAAACTTTTTCCAAGAGCCAACTTGCTTATAAATATTTTAGCAGATTTAAGCATCCGGGCTACATTTTACTTGCCTACACCTACTGAAAAGGCTATTGAATAATGACAACATGTATCTAGACCTTCACATAAGTATGTGTAAAGCAATAAAACAGACTGCAATGGAATCAAATGTGCTACACAGGCAGGTGCTTCTGAAGTTTTATGTATTTATTTTACCAGGTTTACACTTGCTTTTGAAGTAATTTCTTATTTTTATGATGTTTACTTACAGCTGCTACAAGTCTCTGAAATGTGTACCACAGCACTGCTGTCCGTTTTCCTGCGTATGGTTTTAAAAGAGATTTGCATATCCTCCAAAAATAACAAAAGCACTAGAAAAACCCCATGCATTCCCAGATTTGTGTGATAAAAGCAATAGTGATAATTCAATTCCCTGAAAACTCAAGTCCCTCTTAGATGTTCTGCCAATAAATACCCTTAACCTCTCTCTGCAAGAAGGGCTCACTTACAGGAATTTGTTTAGCTTTCAAGTGTCAAAGCACTGCACCTGCTCCTTTTCAGATAACCAGTCTCCTTGTCAAGTCTTATATTGCTCTTGTTTCTCCATCACAATGAGAAATTGTTCCATGCAGTATGGGACAGAGCACTTGTGGAAAGTCACAGGGAAGATTTCATTACTTCCATAGGCCATATCTGCACTCCTCTCCAGGTTTGCTTCTCCTCCACGTCAACCCTTCCTCCCTTCTGCATACATTTTATCTACTGAAAAGGCTATTGAATAACAACAACGTGGATTTGGACCTTCACATAAGTATCTGGAAAGCACTAAAGTAGAATGTAATGGAATCTTGAATGTGCAGAGCTGCACACCCTGGACATGACTGCACTACATCAGCACCCACATGGAAACTTTCCGTCGTTCAAAACAAGCCAAGGGGCCACACAAGGACAACCACATTCTCCAAGACAGGTAAGAAGGAATGTGGCTCCCCCACACTGCTACAGCACTAACAAAAGAGCCTACAGTGTATTTAACAAACATTTTATTATGTCAAGCTGACATATTAGATACTGTTCAAAGAAGTGCCCGATTTACTTAGAATTAAACTATAAACATTATGTTAGTGCAGGACTCTATGCCAGCAAGTTTCAGTTAGATTTAGCAGGCAAGGAAAACAAAAGAAATGTTTGGTTTTGAGAGCTGATAATCGTGGGTTTGCTTCAATTTCACTCAGTAAGTGACAGCATCTTCATTATGCATGACTAAATGCTAACAAGAACAAGTTTATACCATCAGTATCTGAAGGCACAGTTCTTCTCAAAGACCTACTAACAAGAGGAGGACAGTAACAGCACATAAAAGCCTTCATTTTGCAGTCTTAGTATTACTGAAGCTTCTACTGAAACTTTAGTCCTTTGAGTTTTATGGCTGGTTTATCACCAGCCATCAAAACTACATTAGCAGTTCAGGTATGTATGATACAGACTGAGGCAAAACCTTTCTCTCACGATTATCTCCAGAGCCATGCTACCCCACAGTGGTTACAGTTCCCATTACCAACGGGCAGGGGGATGAGCTGTGTCTCGCTCCAAGTTATTCCTCTGATGTCTCCTAGGAGGACAGCGTTATGCTCCTGGCACAGATCCCTTCAGCATGCTCATGAGAAATTCGCATGTAGACATTTGAGACAAGCAGCAGCCAGTAACTATTCAGCACTCAAAGCCTACAGTAAGATAACGCCAGTGAGTTCTCATGCACGGGAACAGCAGGACAGGATGTACAGTGTGAGCTTACATAAGACATGAGGCACTGCTGGGAACCGACAGAAGCGAACAGCAGAAATGGCTCAGGAAAATGCTGATGTCACTCGGATACGTTCAGGTGGCACTGGCCAAATTTCTCTGACCCTAGAACTGGCCTTTCTCCCTGTTCATAAAAC